AGCCTGAGCACCTGGAGCGCCGGGTCTCCAACGCAGGTGATGGCTCAATGGCTGGGTCATGGGGAACTCCCTGGAGGACTGGGTTGGGTAGGCCCAACAAAGAATGAGGCTTCTCTCAGCAGTACCATTTTCTGTATTTATTACAGGAGGCCCACCTGCTCCCCCAGCTGGGGGCCCACCTCCACCTCCAGGTCCTCCCCCTCCTCCAGGTCCCCCCCCACCCCCAGGTCTGCCTCCCTCAGGGCTATCACACGGAACAGGGGGTGCTCCACCTCCAGCACCACCACTCCCTACAGCACAGGGCCCCAGTGGTGGGGGTTCTGCGGCCCCAGGCCTGGCCGCTGCTATTGCTGGAGCCAAACTCAGGAAAGTGAGCAAGGTGAGCGGCTGGGAGTGGCTGAGCCCTGAGGAGACAATGGGAGGTGGTCAGAGTTCCCCAAAGGTGTCACAAGAGGGCTGGGAGGTCACCTGGCCTACCTTTGAAGCCCTCTCCCCCTTTTCATTCCTTCAGCAGGAGGAGGCCTCTGGGGGCCCACTGGCCCCCAAAGCTGAGAGTAGTCGAAGCACTGGTGGGGGGCTGATGGAAGAGATGAACGCCATGCTGGCCCGGAGGTAAGCCTGAGTCCACTCCGGTCAGCACAAGCTTCAGTTTCCAGGGAGGCTGTCAGAGTGCTGGCCGTGCCCCTCCTCTCCCTGTCCTCTCTCTTACTTCCCTCTCCTGTCTAGCCCAGGCTGAACTTCAGATCCTCCTGCCTCAGCCTCCCAGGTGCTGGGATGATATATCTGCACGAGTGTCCTTGTGTCCTTGGTGGCAGTCCCGAGTGGTGACAGCTGAAAGCTTAGACTCTTTAAGACTCAGCTTGCTGACCTAGACACCTTCTCACCTGTATAATTATGATTTCCAGATGTGGAACATATGGGGTCCTCCAACTAATTCCAGAAGAGCAGTCTCTAACATGGATGGAATACATACATATGTGTTTAAGTTATTTAATTTTATTTATTTATGTGAGTGTGCCCATGGCACCTGGAAGGAGCCATTTCTCTCCTCTGCCATGTGGGTTCCGGGAATGGAACTCAGGTTCTCAGTTCGGCAGCAAGTATCCTTCCTCACTGAGCCATCTCGCTGGCCCTAACCTGGATTTTGTTATTGTTGCTCTTCTCTGTCCCAGCTGGGCTGGAATTTTCCTGCCTCTCAGATACTGGGATTACAAGCTTGTGCCATGCTCTTCCCATCTGTTTCTGTTTTTTAAGACAGAGTCCTACTGTGTAGCCCAGGTGGGCTTTGAACTCACAGAGATCTGCCTGCCTCTTTTTAAAGTTATGTTATTTAGTCAGAGTGTGTGTGTGTGTGTGTGTGTGTGTGTGTGTGTGTGTGTGTGTGTGTGTTAGAGGGTAAACTGCAGGATTCAGTTCTCTGCTCCTACCTTTACATGTGTCCTTGGGATCAGGTCAGGTGATCCGGGCTTGGTGGCAAGCTGAGCCATCTTGCAGACCCCTGTGACTTTTCAAACTGTCCTGGAATTGGTAGGAATGGGTGCTGTTGAGTGGCATAGCGTGAACTGTAGCTTGTCCTTGCTTGCCCCTCTGCAGAAGGAAAGCCACACAGGTTGGGGAGAAGCCCCCCAAAGACGAGTCGGCCAGTGTAAGTCGGGGGCTCTTCCTGCTTTATGTTCCCTACCATGTACCCTAGGGCAGGGAGGAGGTGTGACAGGGTTGAACTGGCTTTGGACTTACAAGAGGAGCTTTGGCATGGAAAGGGTGGTGTGTGACACTGAGTTTACCACCAGCAGGAGGAGCCAGAGGTCCGAGTCCCCGCCCAGAGTGGTGAGTGACAGCCCTGTCTAGCCATGGAAACTACAAATCCTGGGATGTGCTGTTCTTGCTTTGGAAGCACCTGAATGGGAAATCTGAAAACACTTGGGATTGTAGTTTTCTGAACTTCTTTGATGGTGGGTTGGGTGGTAGCGTGGTGCCGTGGGGCCCGTGCTTGTCTCTGATCTCATTCGTTGTCCCCTGCCCCAGAACCTGTGCGGAGACCCTGGGAGAAGAACAGCACAACCCTGCCAAGGTAGGCCATCAGTATTAAGAGGAACATGTGACCCCTGACATAGAAAGGGGGAGGCAACCCAGCCCATGCTGCTGCTGCTACCAGCCTAATTCCTATCCCATACCAACTCTTCCAGGATGAAGTCATCCTCATCTGTGACTACCTCCGAGGCCCAGCCCTCTCCGCCCAGCTGTACTGATGACTCTGACTTGGAGAGGGTGAAGCAGGTAGCTTGGGGAAGTAGCTAGAAGGATGCTTGGAGAGACAGACCTGGGTCCAGAATGGTTCTAGGAAAGGCTTGGAAGCTTCAGTCTTCTAATCTGAGAAAGGGAGATGATGGGTAGGGTCCAGGGGGACAGACGCTCACACCATTTTCCACTGCTTGTACCAGGCCTTACTGATCTATCCTGCTGAGTACCCAGAATCCTCAACTCAGTGGCTCCAGCTGTCCATCCTATTCAGAGTTGGCAGGAGACTATGTACTTTTGGCAAGCTTGGTACTGGATATTCTCCAGTACTGTTGTGCTGGCCTCAAAGATCTAGAATTCTATACAACATTCCCATCATTTTGTGACCTTGGCAGCTGTGTCAGCCGATGAGGGTGGGAAGGGTTGTTGAACCAGCTTCCTCTGTCTCTTCAGTCAAGAAAGAGGGAGAAGGGAATCTGGCAAAGTAGAATACCTAGAATCCCCCAGGGAGAGGCTGGGGTGTGGCTCAGTGGTGGTGTGCTAAGGTAGCATTCAAGATGCTGTAGTTTCCATCTCTGTCCCCAAAATAAAACGGACCATTAGGAGGGCTCAGCAGATAAAGGTGCACTTATGCCAGACTTGACAACCTAAGTTCCATCCCCAGAACCCAGTGGTAGAAGGCGGGACCTCTCATTTCTCTGACCTCTGCACTTGCTCATACACACACCCGCAGAAGCGCACAAATAAGTAAATGTTTAAGAACTTTAAAAAAGTTGGAATAAGAAAGGAGTCACTCTTTTTGCGAGTCCACATACCCTCATGGTTGGTTCTTTCCAGGAGCTTCTGGAAGAGGTGCGGAAGGAGCTACAGAAAATGAAAGAGGAAATAATCGACGGTGAGGCACTTGTGCTCCAAAGCAACATTTCCAAGGGCCTTGTGTCTGTGGAAAGAGCCTACCTTGGAGGGGAAGGGGACAATGACCAGCCTGACTTCTGTTTCCTCCTTACTTCTAGCCTTTGTCCAGTTGCTGAAGAAGCGGGGTTCTCCTTGACCACAGGGACCCAGAAGACCTATTTCTCTTTTCTGCACTTCCCGCCTGGCACCTGCTTTCCCTGTCTTTAAGTTGACCAAGAGTATACAAGAATGAATTTTTCCCCCACCACCGGCTCCCACTTGGAAGATTCCATAGGGGGTGTGGCTTCCTGGTGCCATGGCCACACCCATGCTGGCTGCTGATTGGATAAGGAGGTCCTACCCCTTTGTTCCCTTTGGCCCTTTCCCTGTGCCATCCCCTTGGGGCTGGTTCCTCTGCTGGGGATAAAGGGAGTTAACCCCACAGGAAGGGAAGGAAGGAAGGCATCTCACCTTCTCTTGTTCTGGATTCACTTTAACGCTTTAATGCCTTGGAATTTTTTTTTTTTTAAAGAAAAAGTATATATATATATTTGGGTTTGGGGGGAAGGGAAATTTTTTTCTCTTTGATTTTATAAAATGGGGTGTGGGAGTTTTTTTAAATGCTATACTCCAGGCTTGCCCCGCAGGAGGCAGCTATGTAAGAGGGAGGCACTCCACCAGGTGGGGTATTTCCCCAGCCCTGGTACATCTCTCCCTTTTCCTTGGCTCCTCCCTCTTTTCTATGAGGAATTAAGAGTCTTTAATTTTTTTGGAACCTCAGTTTTGTGGTTTTGTTTTGTTTTTGTTTTTGTTTTTTTTAATTTGGGTTAGGATTTCGGGTCCAGACCATTTTTACCCTCCAGGAAGATGAAGTGAGGGGGGAGAAGAGGAGAATACAGGTCCTCTGACTTCCACACCTTAGCTTCTTGGACATGGGCCCTTGCTGAGTAAACGTGCGGTTTTTATAAATGCGAAGGTCTCTGAAGTGATTTGGGAGAGGGTGCCGCTGCCAGCTGTGGGGACCCTTGCAAGAATTCCACTGCCCTGTGCTTTCTGCGTCTGGTTCTGGCCAACACTCTGCCCCGCCCTCCCCTCTGTGGTCTGTGGTCTAGCCTGCTTCCTTCATTCTGCGGTGGGTTGGGGGAACCGTGTGGCCCTTAGGTCTTACATGTTAACCCTGGATTGGTGTCTTTACCGGGAAAGTCTCGGAAGATGCATGCCCCCTCACCCCTAGACGGCCCCTCCCACGGTTCTTTGCTCACCGGGAGGAAGGACACTTCTGCCCACTCAGTACAAGACGGTTTGAGATGCACTCTTTAACATTAAGGCTCCTTTAATTATAAAACATTTAAAGTCTTAAAAAATGAACTAGAGCTCTTGGGCTTCATGGCCCGGTGGGTTAGTAGGGGAATTGGTCTTCTGGAATGTTCCATTTGGACAGAGGAGAGGCCGTTCCTCAAGTGGCCTTTTGACCTGGAAGACCAAAGGCTGGGGGAGGGTGGTCCCTGAGAACGCTATGAACCAGAAGTGGGGGTGCTTGCAGATGGAGCTGTGCCAGTGGCCCACATGTTAAGAGTGCAGGTGGTGCCTTACGAAAGGCCAGTAAAAGGGCAGGCATGGGGGGCGGGGGTCAGGAAACCAAGGGGTCGAATGGAGACAGGCATGGAACTGAGGCAGCCAGAAGAACCAAGACCTGAGGAAGCTGCTCCCAGCCAGCGAGTGGGGAGCGCTGTGGACTGAGGGTTCAGTCGAGGAAAGGGCAATGCTCAGCAGGGCAGGGCAGAGTAGGGAGGGGCCTCTCCCTAAAGTGAGGTAGGTGGACGGAGACGGGGGTCGGGACACCGAGGCAGGGAGTGTTCCTGTGTAAAGGGTTCTTAGGCGGCTCCCCAGCACACTGTGCCTGCCCTTTCCAAGTAGGGCACTCAGGCGCTGATGGTTTGGGGTTGGGGAGATGAGTCCCTGGCATGTGTCACCAGGGGGTGAGAGACCCCGTGGAAAGGAACACTTCCAGCCTAGGATTTGTCCCCGGAGACCAGGGTATGTCAGCTGGCCCAGTTCGGGATGGGCCGGTCACGAGACAAGCCCAGACAGCAGTCCAGGTCCAAGGCCAGAGTCCTGTGGCCTCTATTCCTCAGGAGCATTGGGGAGTGTTGGGGTTTGGGCTCGGGCTCGGGCTCCTAGCAGATACATGGGTTCTGAGCTCCTGCAGCTCAGTCCGAAACTCCGCCCGCAGCTCGTCCAGCGCGGTGGTGGACAGTGCCGCCTGAACCTGCAGCTCGTCCAGTGCCTGCTCCAGGCGGTCCATGTCTGCCCTTAGCGACTGCAGTGAGGCTGTGCGCTCCACTTCCTTGCGGTGTTTTAATGACTGCTGGCGCCAGAATTCCAGCAGCAGGCAGCTGCCAGCACAGGCGAAGATGATGGCCTCGCCCAGCAGGTTTGCGCCCAGCTCAGCAGCCGCCTCCTCATTCAGAGGCTTGATGGCCTCAGCATGGAAACCCATGATGCTCATCTTGGTCCGCATCTCCGCCCAGTGGTACACTGCAGGGGAGAGAGGGGGCGGGGTTTGCTTTGGCCAGGAGGAGGCTCCTCGACCTCCTGCAAGCAACCCCCCCAGTCGTCCCCCCCCCCCATGTCTTGGGGAATCCAAGCCAGAACTGCCTACCTAGAGGACCTTACCCAGTCTGGAAAACTTTAGACTATTGACCTCACCAGGCTGGGGCCCCCTGAAGACATGGTTTTAAAATGGTCCAGGGGCTGGGATGCGGCTCAGTCAGTTGGTAGAGCCAGTGCTGACCCAGCATGCGATATCCCCTGGGCACCACCTGGAACAGGTTTGATGGCACAGTCCTATCTATAATCCCAGCACTCAGGAGATGGAAGGGAGGATCAAAAGTTCAAGGTCGTCTTTGGAGACTGGCCGGGACAAGAGAGCCCTCCAGTAGGCAGGTGATGGTGTTTCTGGCAGCCATTATCTCAACTTTCAGGAATGAAGCAAGAGGCCATCATGGGCTAGAGGTAGAACCTGGTCTCAAAACAAAAAATAAAGTAATATCCAAAGTCAGCAACGGTTGGTGGTAGGTAAGGATGCCTGCCACAGATGCCTGATGATGGGAGTTCTATCCCCAGAACATGAAGAAGCCCTAGAGTTGACCCCTGAGCTTTACACACACTAATAAAAGGTTTTAAAAAAAAAATACCCAGAAGATGCTGGAAAATAGTATGGTGAAAATGGTTTGGGAGGTGGGGACCCTCAGTCTGGGAGCCATTGCAGGGGACAGGGCCACAAAGAGGTCCCAGGTATAAGACCACAAAAACATTCATACACATAAATCTTTTTTTTTGGGGGGGAAGGGCATTAGAGACAGGGTCTTTCTGTGTAGCCCTGGCTGTTCTCACTTTGTAGACCAGGCTGTCCTCAAACTCAGAGGTCTGCCTGCCTCTGCCTCCTGAGTGCTGGAATTAAAGGCAGTCCACCATCACCTGGCATAAATTAATCTTAAAAACAAAACAAAAACTGTCCTTAAGTAAACTTTAGAGAGAATCCCCTACTTACCATCTTATATCTGTGCAAAACAAGTTGTGCATTACTAAACTCATACATTATAGGGCTAAAGAGAAGGAAGGCTCTTGCTGAGCCTAGGACCTGGGGCCAGTTCCTAGCTCCCACATCTCATTACTGCCTGTCATTCCAGCTCCAGGGGACCTGATGCCCTCCTCTGGCATCCATGACACATGAACACACACGGCACACACAGAGGCATGCACATAACACATGCTTATTAGAGAAATAATTATGTGACCTATTAACCAAATAAAAGAACTGCCCACCAGCACACCCCTTAGCAACCAAATTCTGAAAAGTAATTGGGTCCGCTGAGTGCTCTGCCTCCTGTCCTAGCTCTGGATCCTGACAGCGGTCTTCCCTAACCTGCACTAGTGCTCTGCTCTGCAAGTTAAGTTGCTTCTTTCACAAACAAAATAAGCTTATTTTTAGTTCTTCAGTGTGTGTGTGTGGCTGTGTGTGTGGAGACAGGTATTATGTAACTCTGGCTTGGAACTCACAAACATCCACTTTGCACTGCCTCCCAAATGCTGGAGGACTGATGGTCTAACCCACCCAGGGCTTCATGAGTAATAGGCAAGCTCACACACCCCGACTGAGTTGCTTCCCTGGAACCCTCACTCGACTCTGAAGCTTTAGGTTTTCATCAAGTGCTCGCTTAGCCAGTCATGGACACACTGGCTGTCCCTGAAGCTGCAGGGCTGTCTTCCCAATATGTCCTCACGAAACCCCTCCTCTTGTTTCTTTTTTCTTCTTCATTTTGAGCTAAGGTCTTGCTATATAGACCAAGTTATCTTGGAACTCTCTATGCAACCCAAGCTGGGCTTGGACTCATGAAGATCCTTGTGCTTCTTCCTCCCAAATGCTGTGATTAAAGGCATTCTCTACCACCCTGGCTGGATTCTATCTTCCATTTGAAACTTGCTTCTCTCTTTGGACCTGGAAACGTCACTTTTATGTGCAGTCCAGAGTGAAAACATTAGTGTACCCATCTGGAGGAGGCCTGGTTTTTGCTCTGAGATCCCTGGAGATGAGGTACATAGACCAGGTTGGCCTCAAACTCAGAGATCTGTGTGTCTTTGCTTCCTGATTGCTGGACTAAACGTTTATGCCACCCACCATGTTCGGCTTCATTTTATTTTTTCTGGTTTTGTGAGATAGGGTTTCCTTGTGTAGCCCTGGCTGTCCTGGAATTCGATCTGTAGACCAGGCTGGCCTGGAACTCACAGAGATCGCCTGCCTCTGCCTCCCAAGTACTGGGGTTAAAGGCATGGCCACCACTGACAGGCTTCATTTTGATTTTTTTAATCTCTTTTTAATTTTTTTTAATCTCTTTTTTTAAATTTAAATTTTCATGTGCACTAGTGTGGAGGTATCAGAGCCCTTGGAACTGGCATTAAAGACAGTTGTGAGATGCCATGTAGGTGCTGGGAATTGAACCTGGGTCCTTTGGAAGAACAGGCAGTGCTCTTAACCACTGAGCCATCTCTCCAGCCCCCTTCATTTTAATTTTTAAGTTAGTTTTATTTATTATATTTGTGTGATTATGTGGGTACTAAAACATACTTTTGGATGTCAGAGGACAATTTATGGAAGTTGGATCTCTCTTTCCATCATGGGAATCCAGGGGCTGAACTCTGGTCCCTAAGCTTGGCCACAACTGCAGCTTTTCATTTAGCTGCTGAGAATTTGAATTCAGGTCCATACTCTTATCTACTTAGCCATCTTTTTTTTTTTTTAACATAGGGTTTTACTCTGTAGCCCAGATGGGCCCCAGACTCATGGTAATTCATTTGTCTCAGCCTCCCAAGGGCTGGAATTACAGCCACGAATAAGCCAGCATGCCCAGATCTTTCCCTATTTGTGGTGGCTCTCATATAGCCCAGGCTGGATTCAAGATCACTATGTAACTTTGATGCTATCCTTGGATATCTCAAATATCTTTTTCCACCTCCATGCAGGAATTAACAGAAAAACATGCCACTCATAGGGGTTCGAAGGCTGATTCCATTGGTGATGGATGAGTCTGTTCAGCAATTCCTTAATGTCATGCTCCACGAGGTAGCTGGGGGACTTTGTCATCTCCCTGCCTCCACCCTTTTCTGTATGAAAAATCCTGGGAATGTCTCTTTTATGTACAATGAAGGATTAGCCTACCCACACAGAGGTCAGGCCTTTGCCCTCAGATCCTGAGAGATAATCTTTAAAAGTCCTTGGAATGTCCGGCCATTAAACTGTCTTTGAGGCCCTGGTCACATGCATCAGTCATTTCTGCTAATGATATAATTTCTGTTCTTTCTCCTTTTGTTTATTTTTCTCCTTCCTTTGTGTCTCTCTCCATGTGTGCTCATGTGCTCATGTGATTGCGGGCATGTACCACCATTCCTAGCTTCTTGTTTAGTTCACTTTCATTCCATTTTTTTACACTGTATTCATTATTAGTATTTGTGCGTCAAATATTCCAGTTTGAGAATGTGGAAGTCAGAGGACGTTTTGTCAACACAGGGTTTCTCTGTGTAGCCTTGGCTGTCCTGGACTTCTTTGTAGACTTCTTTGTAGACTAGGCTGGCCCCTAACTCATAGCCATCCTCCTGCCTCTGCCTCCCTGAGTGCTAGGATTACTGGCACGCACCACCATGCCCGGCTTAGTGGACAGTTTTTGGCAGTTGGTTGTCTTCTACCATGGGTTAACCTGCTGACCCATCTTGTCAACCTTCACTTGATCCTATATTTATCTTTGACATTTTATCTGTGGTGTGCCTGTGCTATGTGCCATAGCACTTGTGTGGAGGACAGCGTGCAGGGCATCTCTTCTCTCCTTCAACCCTGTGTGATCCAGGGACTGAGCTCAGATCCTCAGGCTTGGCGATGGCACTTTTATCCTTGGGAGTCCTTTCCACCCTCTGGTTGTTTTTAAGACAGAATCTTGCAACTGTGCAGCACCAGCTTCACAACTGCTGGAGTTCCAGGGAGCCAGCTGGAGCGTTCAACCATAGTTCCTGATGATAACTGACCTCCCCACTCTGGCCATAAATAAATCCTGTGATGGTTCCTTGTGCAAGAGCAAGTCACAGGACTCTTTACTCCTGAGGAGCCTTGCTCCCTGCCCTGGAGGAAGGAATGCTTCAGAAAGAACCAGAGGAATCTGAAGAAAACAGGTCCTGCTGACCGGCTTTCCCCACCCAGCCTGAGAACTCTAGACTTGCTTTGTAGCCCAGGCCGGCCTCGAAATCACAGAGATCTGCCCACCTCTGCCTTCCACAGTGCTGGAGCCCACGACTGGCTTTCTGGATGAGTTCTTGAGCAGACTTGCTCAAGAGCAGAAAATTCCCACAGGATGAGGCTCTGTAAGTGTCATGCACACCCTCATCAGAGGCCTCCGCAGCAGCCAGTTAAGTAGTGTTTCTCTGGGTTTGGAGAGCCCCTCAGCAAATCCATTTATCTCATTAGTGAAAGGAGTGCACTCTGAGTAGCCTGAGGCCACCCTGCTCCCTTACAAACAGTTGTCATTTGTTTCTTTTTGAGACAGGCTCTTACCAAGTGTCCTTGGCTGGTCTTGAGCTGGACACCCTCCTGCCTCTGCCTCCCGAGTGCTGGGATAGTCAAGTTTACCAGGTGTGCACTTCACCCAGCAAAGGTGACCGTGCAGTGAGTAGTTTACATTTTAATTAGACCCATGGCATGTCGTGCACAAAATGAACCTGGAATCCACCCTTCTGCTCTGGTTGCCCGCCTGTGCAGAGCTCATATATGGTACATACCTCCAGTCCTGTGTTCCGCTTGCTTTGGCAAAGTCGGGCTCTTGCTGTGTTCCTCAGGCTGCTTGGGACTCCCAGGCTCTTGTGATTCTCCTTTCTGTTCTTGAGTAACTGAGTGGGCAGGCACACCCACCTTTGCTTGCTAGGTTTTGTGGTTGTGTTGCTGTTTCTCTATTTTGAGGCAGGGTCTCATATAACCCAAACTGGCACTGAACTCACTACTCAGTGAGTTCAATGGCTACCTAACCCAGGTTAGCCTGGGTTTCCTGATCTTCCTATCTCCACCTTCCAAATGCTGGGATTCCAGGCCTGGCCAATAAGCTGTTTTTGTTTTTGTTGTTTTACACTGGCTATCACGTAGCCCAGGCTGGCCTCAAACTCCAGAACTTCCTGCCTCCACTTCCCAAATGTTGAGATTACAAGTGTGAGTTACCACACCTGGCTTTTACACTTATTTGAAGTCTCATTTTAGCCCAGGCTGGCCTCGTATTTGTGACAGTCTTCTTGTCTCAGTCTTTGACAGTGGGGACTGGGGTGTTTACTGTCACATCTGGACAGTTTTGTTCAGAATATATATTAGGTTCACAGAACACATACATACATGTGTACACATACAAACATATCTGCTTATATACTTGTTTATTATTCTATGTGTATGAATGTTTTACTGAATGTATGTCTGTGAATCCAGATGCATGGCTGGAAGAGGGCACTGAATCTCCTGGAACTGGAGTTAGGAATGGTTGTGAGCCACTGAGTGGTTGCTAGAAATTGAACTTGATTCCTCAGCAAGAGCACCAAGAGCTATTAACTGCCGAGCCACCTCTCCAGCTCTATATACTTGCTGTTTTGTTCTTTGTCGTCTTCTTTTGTTTATTTTTCAAGACAGGGTTTCTCTGGCTATCCTGGAATTTACTCTATAGATCAGGCTGGCCTAGAACTCAGAGATCAGTCTACCTCTGCTTCCCAAGTGCTGGGATTAAAGGTGCATGCCATTGGGCCCAGCGATAGCTCTTTATGAGCTGGATTACCACAAAGCCAGAGACATACCAAGTCCTGCTGGGTGATGACTTCACCAAAAGGTCATTCCAGAGATATAACAACATCACACACAACATCATGTTGCATATATACACATGCCCTGAATTATACAACACTATGATCCACATCCTGGGAGAACAGAATTATTATAGTGTGTTCATGTAATCTATCATGAACACACTGCATAATGGATTACTCTTCTTTCTCAAGGATTTCAATGCAAGCTCAGGACCTTCTGTGGTTGCTGGTAGCAGCTCCTGTGGGCACCAAGGAAGATCAGGAATGCAGAAGGAGGAGGAGCTAATTAGCTTGGCATGGGGAGTGGGGCCTCAGAGATACTATGTATGACCTATTTCAGAGGTTTTGTTTGTTTGTTTGCTTTTTTTGAGACAGGATTTCCTTGTAGACCAGCCTAGCCTTAAACTCAGAGATCTACTGCCTCTGGGATCAAAGGTGTGCGCCACCACCTCCCAGCATTTTGTGTTGTTTTTGAGAAAGGGTCCCTCTACACAGCCCTGGCTGATGTGCAACTGTGCAGAACAGCCACCCTAGAACTCTCAGAGATCTGACAGCCTCTGCCTCTCCAGTGCTGGGATCAAAGGTGTGGGCCACCGCGCTTAGCTCCCTAAGAGTGTGGCCTTTGTGTGCTCTCACTGTATGGGGTCAGTGTAAAGGGCCGGTGGGTACCTGTTTTCAGAGACTCAAATCCTGCTAAAGTGGCCAGCGACAATGTGCAAGGGAGTGAGCACAGTTGTTTTAATAAACCTTTACTGACTGCTTCCGCCCAGGGGACTTATCTGCTAAGGCCTGCATAGTTATGGTTGCTTGTTCTTGTGTCTCCCTACAGTGTTCTCAATCTTGACCCTGAGGTACCTCCAGAGTGTTAGGATGACAGGTATATGCACATTATACAGTGCTGGGGACTGAATCCAGGGCTTCAAGCATGCCAGACACGACCCCTGCCCACCATGCCCTCTCCCTGTACCACCTCTTCACTCCTCCATGGGAACACAGGCTCCACGGTGGCTACGCTGCACTTTTGCCTTGTTCCTGGCTGATCTGGACACTGGCAGAATACCAGACAAGAAGCTGCTCAATGAACATGTGTCCAGTTGGAGTGGCAGCACCCCAGGCACTAGGCGGGCTTTTCCTGTCAGCGTGTCCACAGTGCTTACAGTGGCCAGCCAAGGGATGGCCTTGGGGCCCAGGGAATGGGCTGGGGCTTGTATGAGACCCATTCTCTCCTGGGATGACTCTATAACATCTTGGTTCCTCCACACAAGAGCTTGTCCAACAATGAAACTAACATAGGGACAGGCAGTGCCCTAGACTTTGGTCCAGGCTGTGTGAGCTGGAATGAATGGGGTTCTGTCTGCCATATCCTGAAGCCCCAAGTCACTCAGGAGGGGAGGAGCCCGTCTACCCACATCACCAAGGAGGAGCAGGGGACAAAGACAAAGTGTGTGCAACTGTTTCCCACTGGGCTGTAAATCCATGAGGCTGGGACTGTGGCTGGTTCACCAGGGCTCAGATGGCAACCCAGCACGGTAGCAAACAAGGCTGGGCACGCAGCAGGCAACTCTGACTCTCACTCAAATGCTGGAGAAGCAAAGAGCAGCTCTTCTGCTTCATGTGGACTGTAACATTTTATTTATTTATTTATTTTGGTTTGTATTTGAGACAAGTCTTACAGAGCCCAGGCTGGCTTAAGCTCACTCTGTGGAGGACAATGACCTTGATCCTCTTGCCTTTGCTTCCACACAGGCATGTGTCACCATGCCAACTGCAATACTGGGTTGGTTTAGACCGGGTTTTGCTATATAAGCCCTCAAACCTGAATTTAGTGAGAATTCTGAAATTTTGGTTTCTTTACAACACACACACACACACAAACACACACAGAGGGAGGTGGGGGGGGAGAAAGGGAGAGGGAGAGGGGGAGAGAGAGAGAGAGTTACATTCTCATTTTAATCCCAAGTGTAGGAATACAGGGCTGCTCTACAGCAGCTCACTATGATTTGCCTTGTGCTCTGGTGAAGGTGTGTCTTTGCCAGCTGCAGATGATTCCTGTGTTTGTGTGATGTTTGCATTCTGGGAACTTTTCCGAGGATATATAAATGCAAAGGCCCCAAGGGTAGGGTGTGTGGCCCCTTCAGGGGGATTGTTTGCAGTTTGTTTTTAGTCATGCTCAAAGAAGAAACAAGAAAGAAATCAGGTTCAAGGATCTCTCCCCTCTATCCTTCTTTCTTATCTACCTAGTGGTAAGTGAAACTGGAGTGGAGGATAAAGGATGGAAAAGAGAAGAACCCACAAAGTAGCTAAATACAACCCACAGAGACTTTATTTTTATTTTTTCTTTTTGTTTCTTGAGATGGGAGTTTCTGTATAGCCCTGGCTGTCCTGGAACTTGCTCTGTAGACCAGGCTGGCCTCGAACTTAGGGATCCAACTGTCTCTGCCTCCCTGGCACTTTCTTATTTAGCAGGAAGGTCAAGTGGTGGGATTATAGTCATATGCCATCTCTGGTTAAAAAGTTTTATTACATTTTATGTATTTATGGTCGTGTGCATGTTATAATGTTACATGGAGGTCTGAGGAAAACATGGGGGAGTCAGTTCTACTATTCTAGTCCTGGGAATCCCACAAAGGCCATGAGGCTTGGTGGCAAGTGCCTCCTTCTTTTCAGTCTATTGGATTTTTTTTTCAATAAAACACACACACACACACACACACACACACACACACACACACATCTGAAGACAACCAGCTTCATTTATAAATTTATTCTTCCCCTTCTCCCCATGTGGGACATATATATATATATACCACTGCAGTGGTTAGGAAGCCAGAGCCATGAAAGTGACTCTGTACTCCAGCCCTGTGAAGGCTTCTGGAACCACACACCCCATCATACTTGCTTCCTGTACTGCCACTGTGGTGAGGCTGCCCACAGGCCCAGCCATGTCCAGAGGCACTAGGACCATATGAAGTCTCCACAGGGTCAGCATGGGCCCAGAGGTCCATTTCCACACTTGGGTGACCTGAAGGCAATATTTCGTTTTGGTGCCTGTTTCCTCCCAAGCAAACAGAGAAAACATTCTTGTGGGGTTCTTCAGGGAACTTAGAACAGTGAAACTGGTCTGCTGAAATAATGACTGACCTGTGTCAGCTCAGTGTCCTTCACCTGTCTTGGCTTTGCCATAACTGCAAAGCCGTGGACTGACCCAGGACAAGGTGGTCAGGGCTGTCCCTGGAGCTGTTAGTGCCAGACTGGACTCCATAGGGGTAACCATGGCAATTGGGCTCTGAGCTGCTTCCCTGGCTCCTTCTTTCCTCTGGTCTCCATCATCCAGCCATGTCTGTCCTTTGCCTTTGTCCCTCAGTTAGGCTTTCACCTAACTTAGCCACTCCCAAATTTAGTTTTGTATTTTTATTTTTTAAATATTTATTTATTATGTATACAATGTTCTGTCTGCATGTACATCTGCATGCCAGAAGAGATCACCAGATTTCATTATGGATGGTTGTGAGCCACCATGTGGTTGCTGGGAATTGAACTCAGGACCTCTGGAAAAGCAGCCAGTGCTCTTAATCTCTAAGACATCTCTCTAGCCACTCCTAAATTTAAAGACAGCAACTTCTGCCTCTTCTAGAAGGAACTCACATATAGTTTCAGAAGTCTTGACTGTCTGTCTGGGGAATCCCGGGAATGGGTCATTTCCAGACCCCTGGGGGACAGTCTTGCAAGGTTTATCTCCAGGGGCAAGGACCAGGTGGCCCGAACCTATTTTCTGTATTCAGAGACCTCAGGTGTGGCCTGGGGTTCTTCTGATAGAGGACAGATACCCAGTGCCTCAGGCCTCAGGGAAGAAGCTGGCCCTCTTCTTGCTTTGCCCTGAAGCTAGAACCATCAAGGTCCTTCTGGTCCTCCCTCCCCACCCTATGTAGCTGGCTCCTCCTGAGCTGTGGGGTCTTGGCCAAATTCTTTAGCTTCCCTTCCCCTCAGCC